ATGTTCATGTGCTTTTTTTTCAACATCTGTCAGGACTTCAATTAATTTTGAAACAACTTTAATACACTTTGGATGTCAATCGGTACGTATCTTATGGAATTATTTTGACTATCTTATGAGGATGTTTGTTTAGCGCCGTATTCAGCAGTATTACAGCTGTAGATCTGTAAACAATCTAGACTGGACCAGACAACCCAGTGATTGACACCATGAGATACGATGGCAAAACATGTGTTTATGAATCACTATAACCAAATGATGATACCAGTTTTTCGCGATAGGTGAGCGTATCCTGCTCCATCGATGTCACTCGTCAACATATGCAGGGGCTAGTCAAATCTTCAGCTGAATCAACTTCGGAACATGTTGTACAAAATACGGAATTGTGTTGGACACCATTTTAGTCACTGATGCATCAAATTTTGTCACTCTGAATCTTTATGCATATATCTAAATATGAAAGAGGCAGTCACACTTGTCTCCTTAATTTCAAGATCAGGTGAGTAAATCAGTAGAAGGCAACTGGATGGTTATTGAACCATATCAAGCTTCTTATAAGCTTCAGTTAAACTTGTCCAAATTACCTTGTTTTGATTTTGCTAACCCAAGCAGACATTCTGATGCATATTCATAAAGAAACAGATCCGCAAGATTACTCAGTAAACTTAAAATTACAGTTGCTTTCATTTTTGACAAATTGTCCTGAAGCTCTGAAGATAGATATGAAGGGATGTCTTTGTTCACTACGTTTATTTACAAATGCTCCATGGATCAAGAAATGAAGTTTGTCATGGTGTGGTGGTGTACAACGTTGAAAAATCAAATGCTTTGGCAGAACTGAACTCGACTCGTTTCTGAGACTGAACAATTTCTTACAAACGCATTGTGATATAGTATGACCAGAAATTTTTGAGAATTTTAGGAATTTGTTTAATTGGATTTCTAGTATAAACAACCTTGACCAGCTATCAAGTGCTTGGTTTCCTTCAAGAGAGACAACTCCGCTAACCCTTTTTCATTAGTTTGTGAAGAGTTATCCCCCTTTGTTTACTTGCTAGCAGACACATTTTCAGTGATCTTCAGTATGGATGATTTAGAGAAGAGGAAGTTGATTTTAGAGTATTATAACAAGGACATCAGATCAGCTAAAGTGATTTCAAGTAGAACAGGCATCCCTTTGTCCACTGTTTATCGTGTTTTGAAAAATATTGCAAATGGATATGGCATTGAGCACCAGGGAGGCGCAGGTAGGCCCAGAAAATTGACTGTCGGTGACAGGAGGCGGCTTGGTATTCTTGTTTCTAAAAACAACGAAGGAGTTTAGAAAACTTAAGGCTGGATATGATTGATAGAGGAACCATGGCTGTCTGTAAGGAGACAATTAGAACTGAGCTGCATGCAATGGCATGGGTTGGCAGAAAAGTCGAGGAATTCCATCACCGATCATGAAACCTGAACCAAAGGAGCGAAGGTTGAACTGGTGCTTACAGCATAGAAATTTTAACTGGGACAATGTGATTTTCTCAGATGAAAGTTCTGTGTGGCTGTTTCCTAATACACTGAAATTCTGGACCAAACAAACTGAAAAACCTTTGTATCAGCGTCCAAAGTACAGTCCGAAATTTAACGTGTGGGGTGGCACATCTGTGTTAGGGGCAACGCCCCTCTGTGTATTTGAAGGGAATATGAACAGTGAGCGGTACACAGATATTCTCGAGGGACATTTACTTCCATCTGCTCACGTGTTCTATGGAAATTTTGGATTATCCAGCAGGACAACGACCCAAAACATCGTTCAAAGCATTCACATGCCTGGTTTCGGACCCAAAATCTGACAATATTGGCCAAGTTATAGCCCTGACCTAAATCCAATACAAAATGTTTGGGGACTTATGAAGGAAAGTGTCAATAAGAAAATCGGACAAATATTGCTGAAATGAAAGAAGAGATGGTCCGATATTGGGACAGCATGGACCACGACTTTCTAGCTTCTTTGATCAGTAGTATGCCTCGCCACATTGAAGGCTGCATTGCTGCCCATGGTGACTTGACAAAATACTAACTGTTCACCTGTCTTTGAATCTGGAGTTATGTTCTGCTAATATTCACATTTAATACGTGAGTAATAAGTGAAAAAAAAAAAAATTACAATCTTTATATTCTCAATAATTTCTGGTTGTACTGTACATGACAACTTATAATACGGACACTCTAATGACAGAGAGACGGGTTGATCACAAACTATGCACCAGACACAACACTTTGTGGGTGTTACCAGGGTAGGAGATATGTTTGTGGGTGTTACCAGGGCAGGACATATTTGTGGGTGTCACCAGGGCAGGACATGTTTGTGGATGTTACCAGTGTTACCAGGGCAGGACATGTTTGTGGGTGTTACCAGTGTTACCAGGGCTTGGGACATGTTTGTGGGTGTTACCAGGGCAGGACATGTTTGTGGGTGTTACCAGGGCAGGACATGTTTGTGGGTGTTACCAGTGTTACCAGGGCAGGACATGTTTGTGGGTGTTACCAGGGCAGGACATGTTTGTGGGTGTTACCAGGGCAGGACATGTTTGTGGGTGTTACCAGGACAGGTACCAGGGTGTTTGTGTGGGTGTTACCAGGGAAGGACATGTTTGTGGATGTTACCAGTGTAGGGGAGGTACCAGTGTAGGACCAGGGCAGGACAGGGCAGGACATGTTTGTGGGTGTTACCAGGGCAGGACATGTTTGTGGGTGTGTTACCAGGGCAGGACATGTTTGTGGGTGTTACCAGGGCAGGACATGTTTGTGGGTGTTACCAGGACATATGTTTGTGGGTGTTACCACAGAGGTGGGACATATGTTTGTGGGTGTTACCAGTGTTACCAGGGCAGGACATGTTTGTGGGTGTTACCAGGGCAGGACATGTTTGTGGGTGTTACCAGGGTAGGACATTTGTTTGTGGGTGTTACCAGGGCAGGACATGTTTGTGGATGTTACCAGTGTTACCAGGGTAGGACATATGTTTGTGGGTGTTACCAGGGCAGGACATGTTTGTGGGTGTTACCAGGGCAGGACATGTTTGTGGGTGTTACCAGGGCAGGACATGTTTGTGGGTGTTACCCAGGTTACCAGGGCAGGGACATGTTTGTGGGTGTTAGGACATGTTTGTGGACATGTTTGTGGGTGTTACCAGGTGACATGTTACCAGGTGTTACCAGGGCAGGACATACCAGGGTAGGACATATGTTTGTGGGTGTTACCAGGGCAGGACATGTTTGTGGGTGTTACCAGGGCAGGACATGTTTGTGGGTGTTACCAGGGTAGGACATATGTTTGTGGGTGTTACCAGGGCAGGACATGTTTGTGGATGTTACCAGTGGTACCAGGGCAGGACATATGTTTGTGGGTGTTACCAGGGCAGGCAGGGCAGGACATGTTTGTGGAGTGTTACCAGGGCAGGACATATGTTTGTGGGTGTTACCAGGGCAGGACATGTTTGTGGGTGTTACCAGGGCATATGTTTGTGGGTGTTACCAGGGCAGGACAGTGTTACCAGGGCAGGACATATGTTTGTGGGTGTTACCCATAGGACAGGGCTGGAGATATGTTTGTGGGTGTTGTTACCAGGGCAGGAGGACATGTTTGTGGGTGTTACCAGGGCAGGACATGTTTGTGGGTGTTACCAGGGTGGGAGATATGTTTGTGGGTGTTACCAGGGCAGGACATGTTTGTGGGTGTTACCAGGGCAGGACATGTTTGTGGGTGTTACCAGGGCAGGACATGTTTGTGGGTGTTACCAGGGCAGGACATGTTTGTGGGTGTTACCAGGGTAGGACATATGTTTGTGGGTGTTACCAGGGAAGGACATGTTTGTGGATGTTACCAGTGTTACCAGGGCTGGAGATATGTTTGTGGATGTTACCAGGGCAGGACAGGTGGGTGCTTGCCCCTAACATATGTGATATAACACTCGTTGACATGGGCGTAAACGTAGATATACGTTGGTACAACCAGTAGTTGGATAGCTGTTGATTTAAAGTAATTACCACAATAGAGTAGAACTACACAATCAAAGAAAAATACAGTTAAAATGGCAGTATAAATCATAATGGAAGTAGTAATATAACAACACGGTATATGATGATTATACTCTCACGGCAGCAAGTGTGGAAACGTTTCCACATAGACTTTACCTGGATATCAAGGTTGAAAGTATTCATGTATTTATTTGGTGCAAACATTATCGTATAACAGCTATGAATTATAAGTGTAATATGTTTTCCCTGTCATATTACCATAATTACGATGTTAATAAATACACAAACAATCTTTTCCACTTGTCCGATTTCTTGCCCATTTTCATCATGCTGTAACATCACATCCGGGTCTTCGTTTTCTTCTGAGTTCCCAGTCATAACTGAAGTCAAAGACTACACGGGTGATTTGATCTTTGGTTAGATTACAAACAAGTTATTAAATATATCATGTCCATATGGACGAACGTCATGAGGGATTCACGCTTTATTACTATCAACAACCACAATTGTGACCCATATTGAATGACCCCATCGTGTGATAGAACGATACCAGATTCCTTTTAGGAGATAAAAAACCCAGAGGTTTGCTGGCTGCACTTCCAGGGTGTGACCTAAACGAATACTAAGCAGCATCACTGTAAAGTAGCCATTCAGATTTTCAACTGGAAGCAAAACAATATCATCAGCACCAACCTTTGTATTATTAATCCCAATCATATACACGTTAAATAACTTACAGGCAACTGTACGTCAGACGAAGGTGTAAATAAACAATTCAGGCGTAAAAACTTGGGAAAACTGGGAAAAAACGTACAGGGAAATGAAAGCATGGTACGTTGAGCCCCTTACGTTTTACGTAGATCGACTCTCATGATGTTGATCACGGGTTTGCTTGGTCCAGACACAATTATTTACAGGCCGTCGTCATACAGCTGGAATACTGCTCAGCGTGGCTAAACAACAAACAAACAACACCAGATAAACAGTTAACATCTTCTAACACTTCCTCAGGTATATCGTCCAGTTTCGTGACTTCCGTCTTCCAGCAGGCTCTATCACATACTACAGTTTCAGGTCTCACAATGAATGACTTCACTGTCAATGACGTTGCAGTTAAACAGATTCGAATACGCGTCTCTCTATGTACCAAGCACCAGGCCAGTTTTCCTGTTGTTTCATCTCCTTTGTTTAAAACAAATACCAACTTTGCCTGTTATCTCCCGAAATGCCACAGAATATCTTTCACGTCTGTTTTAAGTCCGACAAAGTCTTCGCGTTGTACTATACACTTGTATACGGGAGGTTTGTTCTTTCACCTGTCTAGATATCTAGACACTTACTCCTTCCGATATACACAGATCATTCCATGAAGCAGACACCTATGTCAACCACTACGTAGGACTGCGCCTTGGTACTTGGTACTTGGTACTTGAGTCAACCATTTCACCAGTTCGCATTCCCCAAGATGTTTGTAAACAGTCAGCCACAGTTATTGACGGCATTGTGTATTACAACTCTCTCTGGTAACATATCCACTCCCGACAGATGATTTGATTTGTATATAGTTTCCAGATAGAAATGTATAACCTACATTGAATAAGTTGATGAAGATGTTTGTTTCCCAGACCTGAAGCATGTCTGACCGAGAGGCTGTACACACTGGGGATGGAGAAGTGCAGAGTGGACAGGGGCACAGACTCCGTGGTACATGGACCTCCAGCAGGGAGTTCATTCTGACTATGATAGGTGCAGCTGTTGGATTCGGCAATCTCTGGCGTTTCCCATACATATGTGCCAGAAACGGGGGGAGGTGAGTTTAGTAAACGTGTTGTTGATTAGTAACATATCAGCTGATGGATGGCAGTAACAGACTGTTTTCGTGTCGCACGGTGACAATCACTGGATTGTCTGGCCCATACTCGATTTGTTTACAAACAGCATCGTACATATGTAACACTGCTGAAACAAACATATGCTCACGATATAGTCACAATTGTACAATCGACCCTGCTTTTAGCAGAGATTTCTTATGAATATGGAAAGGGCTTTGTCGCTTCTGTTTAAATATGAGTATAAGATTATCAAAAATATATAACTGTTGGTGTATGTCCAAATAAGTTTGGTAAAATGTGTCATATTTTAGATCTTACTTTTTTCGTTAATCACAAAAAAATTCTCTATGCCCTTCATTCTTGCCTGTGTCATATTCTCATGTCACATTGTAGATTTAGCCTGTACCAGAGACAGATTAGATGTCGGGAAGTGTTCGGTGACAGGTGAGCAGAATGTGTTACATAATCAGCATTCACCCTACACGTGCAAGCAGTTAGCACAACGGATCAGTGTGAGGTTTTAAGTCTCAAATTTACCGGGATCAATTTCATATAAAAGTCAGTCGTTTTGAAACAGTAGGTGTATGTCCTAAATCACGACAGATCAGTGTTGTTTTCAAACAATCAATGTTTGACTGTTTCCGCTTCAGGTGCCTTTCTCATACCTTACCTGATATTCCACTTTACGCTTGGGCTACCTATCTACTTCCTCGAGGTGTCAGCCGGGCAGTTCTCTGGCAGAAACAGTGTTCACATTTGGAGTGTCTGTCCACTATTCAAGGGTAAATTTAGCTTACATTGTAGTAGCTACAATGTGTGTTGATGCCACTAAAGAATCATAAACGTTTCAAACGTTCGGATGTTTTATAATACAGCTATGTTATAAACATATTCCAATTCCTTCAAAGCGCCAACACCAGTGATTAATAGTTCCAGTATTTGACAAAACATATTCCAGATGTCGTGAAATACTAAACGGTAATGACACTAAGTTTTCGTCAAAAGGGAAAATGTTACTCTGAGGGTAACATCCTATTCGTTGCTTTCATGATATATATGCTGCCGTGAAACCAACACTGAAAACTGAAAAACGGGTGATAACACTGGGTAACATACAAACAGGACATGTCGTTTTCAACTTTCTTGCTTTTCCACAGGAATAGGCATCGCCCAAGTAATCATGGCAAGTTTAGCAGCGGTGTGGTACCAAAATGCTCTTGGCTGGACTCTTTTCTATCTCGGAATGTCCTTCAGTCCTGACCTAACCTGGAGCAGCTGCAGCAACTGGTGGAACACTGAAGACTGTGTGGATGGTGATTACCGTTACTCAGGGGAGACCCTCAACACCAGTTTACCTGGAACAGAGAACGCAACACTACGAGCTATGGACAGTCTCTCCAACTTCTCGCTCTTCAATACTGGCGCGGGCGAGTTCTGGCAGTAAGTCCTAGTTCTTATACAGCAATATGAAACATTATCATGAACAAGAATTCCCCGTTATTAGAAGATTCTAAAGGCACATTGGTAGGGTAGCAAAGGGAAAGGGCAAGGTTGGGGTGAGGATACGTAGGATTGCAGTTATCATTACGTAATTATTGAACATCAATGCGAATTTAGATTTATGTGATGCAAACAATTCTTCCAAGAAATAACCTCTTACTATCCCTCTCTATAATCACATTGTGTATATATGAAGCGATCAATGCACTGCAATGACCAGTCTTCAGATTGATTCTATTTGGCGTTAAGGGCAAAATAGCTGTATATTTTGGATTTTATAAAGTATATACATGGATCACGGACAATCCCTGATGCCACAAAGTGTCCGCATGATGGTCAAGCATGTCCAGACCTTTCTGATAGGAATGTGTCCATAGTCCTGACATATCAAGATATATACTTTGGCTATATCAAGGTACATACGAAGCCTCTTTGCGCTCCTGGGAACCTGAGTGGCTCAGCTGCACTTCACAGTGCAGAGTTCCCTCACTTGGATACGCTAGAAACCTAGAATCGTGGGTTCGAGTCCGGATTCGCCTCAGTTCTGTTGTTTCTAGATTGGCAGTACCATGCGCGTTTTAGAGGTTTCACCAAAGTATTACACGTCTAAGACCTACACCACTAAGGGGTATTTCGTTCCCATCGGAGAAGATGCACCATGATACATCTGGAATGTTCAAGGGAGCATAAGATCCAACTCACTCACACACACCGCGTGACTGGACAATGCGTGATTAACAACAAACAAATAGAATCCAATCTATTAATAAGTTGCTAGAAAACTGAAACATCTGTGAAAAGCTTTTCACGGTATTATTATAAGCTATACAGACGCCTTTATACTAAAGTATATACGAATGTGTACACTGCAGGTATAGGGCGCTGGGGGTGTCTGAGGGGGTCCATGACACAGGTACCATCCAGTGGCACCTTGCAGTCTCCTTACTTGGTTCATGGATCGTTATCTTTCTGAGTCTAGTGAAAGGTATCAAACGTATCGGCAAGGTGAGGACACACAATGGCATTTGTCCAAATAATTGAGAATATATTTATTGACTGCAGTTGTGAACCATTGCTGGAATTCAGTAATGTATATTTGCAGACATTTAAGGTGTATTCAACATCGCTTTTTATATGCATAAATTATGATTTCAGTTATTCTTTTCCATTTCATTGTGCAAACATCCATGACCCTTAGATGACATATTTCCTGAATTACTTGAAAGGGCATCTACTTGGGAAGCACTAATTACACATAGAGCCAACTTACATACAAGACTCATGGTACATTTTTACCATCAAAATTGTTTCTCGCCTCAGCAATTCTTTGACAATGGTATCAAACATGTTTGTTTGACGATGCATGTTTGTGAAGAAAACGAGAACCGGACATCCCATGTTGTCCCAAGTTTGGACGGTGTTCAGGCAGATGTTCCTGCACATGTAATGTTCCTATGTATGTTGTTCTTGCCCATATAATGTTCATGAACATGTTGTTCTTCCTCATGTAATATTGTTCCTGCATATGTTCTTACACATGTAATGTCTCTACGTATGTTTGTTCCTGCAGACGTATGGGTCCTGTATATGTCGTTCTTCCTCATATATAATGTTGTTCCTGTGGTGTCTGTAGGTTGTGTACGTGACTGTCCTTCTGCCGTACCTGCTACTGGCAGTTCTCTTCATCAGGACCATACTTTTACCAGGCGCTGTGGATGGAGTTGTGTTCTATTTAAGCCCAGATTTCAGCAAGCTGTTAGAAGTTCAGGTAAGATCAGTCATGGGTAATTGGTGACACTCCCACATATTGTACTTCAAAGTTACATTGTGTACAATGTATATCTCCCTGTATGCTTCTTATGATTATTATACGGGTTCGTGGCCCAAATACATTGATTGTTTTTATCATACCATACCCTTCCTGTGGCCCTGTCCTGGGGACGTTTTACAGTCCTTATACAACTGGAAACCTAGGTTGACTCTGCTTTTAGAAAATAATTCTATGTCTATATGAAGGGTTTATTGTTGATATTATACTTCTCGTAACATTGAGATGTTTAATATAGTTCATTACCCGTCCTCAACATCCCACACGACTAACTGGTTCCAGTGGTAAGGCTTGCAGATTTTGTTCATGAATATTCTCGCATCCCGAGTCCACAGATCGATCTCTATAATGTACATTTCTGCTCCAAATTCGTTTATGAACAAACCACTATCACGTAGCTGAATATTGGTGAGTGAAGTAGTTAACACCAAACAACCCGTTTATATTACTGACATATTACATTACATTCATGTAATCAATACAGATAATATACGTCTAATAGCCCAGGTCACGTCATGGGATAAACGTGTTATTGACAAGAAATGTAATATCATTATTTTTCCTATATTTCAGCAATGTAAATATGTTTCAAATGAACATATTCCCTTTCATCGTATTTTTCACATCATTTTTTTCGTTATATATCTCATATCGTGATATTTTATGCTATATCGGGGATCTGTCTTTACAACTATGATAGTATAACACGTGGGGGTCTCTCGCTGGAGATTCAGTTTGAATTTCGAACACAATGTACGGATTCATTTAAAAGATAAATGACAACCGTTTGAAGCCTAAAATGACTGATCAATATTGTTTTAAACTTCCGTTTCTGTTGTGTCATGCTCCCAACACCCATGGACACGCCGTGGACACAAGAAGTTAACCGGGGCTCTGTCCGTAAACAACTAGGTGTGACACCAACAAACAACCAAGACATCTGATGTGATTAACAATTGTATTCTAAAATTAACTGAATTCACAAAACAATACAAATGTACCACAATGACAGCACAAAATGCTGTGGCAGTTCAAATTAAGAAATAATATAACACAAGAGAAGTGATATTTACCCCTCAGAAAAGTAACTCAGCTTGAAAAAAAATAGGTCGCTGCAGGGTATAATCGGCACATATAACTCTGGCTAGCTATTCCGGAATGTTCGTAGCCCTACGAACTTCTTAAGCTCATTCTTAACACATTGGCTACGATCGAAGTTAAGAATTGTTAGGGCTACGAACGTTTGGAGAATAGGGGCGCTGGTCTTCTCGTAACTTGTCATATCATATGAGGTGAGAAACAAGAGTTAACTCCCCTTATATGCCTAAGAAAAGGATGCTGGAAAAATGTACACAAGGGCAGATTCTGGAATCAGCTGTTGGTAGCACTTTCAAGATCTTTCTATTTTAATCTGGTAAAAGTCTAAATGTAGCACACCGCTGTTCCTCACTGATTATCACATGTGCAATGTATTCACCTAGAACATTGGTTCACAATGCATATAACAACGACAGGACTTTAACACCAAGGAGATGTCCTCGTGAAAATATGTTATAAAAGATACATTATTCAGTTTCGGATTTCGATACTTTTGTCTGACTTATATCAAGCTCACTTACGTTTTCATATGATTTATTTGTGCCAACACAATAAAGCAGTATATATAATGTTTGAAGTGTATGCCTTCTACAGGTTTTTTAATTTCTAAATTTATTGATGTTTACTATGATATTTGATTGTTCTCGTCACGATATGGCTGAAATATTGCCGATGTGACGATAAATATTAACTCACTCACTCACATGCAGGTAATGCAGTTGGTATGAGGTTCAAAGGCCAAATCAGACAAGGCAGTGATACTATGTACACGTTTCCTTTTCCAGGTTTGGCTTGAGGCTCTTCTTCAAATATTTTACTCTATTTCTCCCGGAACTGGTGTGGTGGTCAACTTGTCGAGCTACAACAAGTTTAATGAAAATTGCCTGAGGTAATCAAATGCAAATATCTCGAAACATCTTTCTTTCTTTCAACTCTACTCTAAACAAACGTAGGGGATACTAAAGATGTACTGCCACGATATGTTAAAACATCCATTCGCACAATGTGTATGAGTCTCCCAGCGGCGATTTGAGGGAGACTGCCCCACACTTCTTGCAGCCCGACACTGCTTGCATCCCCTGCCAAGTTCCGCCATCTTGGTGTGCAGTCTGTGATGTTACGTACAGGTTTTCATAGCTGGTCATGTTCAGTGGGGTGGACATCTTGGCTCATTGCTGGCCACGGTATTTTGTTGATGTGCTGGAGGTGAGCGGTGGCGATTCGTGCACGATGGGCATAGAGACAAAACGCTGACCCACACTCACAGGACAACAAAGGTTGCAGGATGTTTTCCCGGTAGTATTGTTCAGTGACCATCATTGCATAATTCGAGTTTCGCGCAGCCATTGTAATGCAAATGTAATCCTACCTCATACTTACCTGCCAGACTAGTCCACACGTCCTATCAGAACATAAGACTCGTGATCAACACTGATTACTTATCTGTCGAAAATATGATTTGTAATGGGTGGAACAAGAGAGATGACCGCCGAGGATGTAGATCGCCTGATGATGCATCGCCTGACCCTGGTAATCACAGTCCGTGAAACAATGAACGTGTTTGCAACTGCAGATTGACTTCTGCACGTGTCCAACATGCACAAACAATGAATAAATCACATACATCACAACAAAATCAATATAATTGACAGATATAATGGCCAAAAAGAGATATTAATGGACCTTTGGTGAAAGTGTATAAAATCAAATACTATGCACATGTCTGGCGCCACAGCTCTTGGTATCTGCAAACTATCAGATGTGCTTTAGGCTTTACAGACATACAGTTTTTTCATAGCATGTTTGTCAATACTTCTCAGTATAAACCTTGATAATAACATACTGTCTAAATAACGCCATTAAACTACTTAGTATTTTAACTTCGTTTAATGACCCGCTACTTTACAGTCACATGCATCACCTGACAATAAAGCTTTATAATAAGATATTGTCTGATTAATGATGCAGATACGCCATTATTATCACCACTGCTGACGTCATCACCAGTGTTTTGGTCGGTCTTACCTATCTTCACGTTGCTTGGGTTTATGGCCAACAAGGCTGGAGTTGGAATATCCGAAGTACTTTCATCAGGTGAGTTGTGGTATTGTGATTTGTTCTGGACATCGTTGTCAAGGCAGTGTTATCATTTAGATTTCACAAGAATGTTTCACGTTTTGGGACTGTATCTATGATAACTATCAAATGGAACATATTCTGACATCACACAGAAGGCTCATGGCAAATAATACAAATGTGTTTGAAATGTATACCATTTCATCTTTTGTAGAACAGCCGTTTTGATAATCACTTGTCACAGCATTGACATCTGTCTGAACAGTTTGTATTCATTTAGAATGGGGTCAAGGTGAAAAGTAAAGAGTGGGTGAGTGATTTGATATTTATCGTCACATCGGCAATATTTCAGCCATATCGTGACGAGAACAATTAATTATTATACTATAGATCAGTAAAATTCGAAAATTGAAGCCTGTTGACAAAGAACAGTAAAACTACTAGTGTATCACAGATATCCATTTAAAATTAGTAATTAAATCTAAAACATTTTAACTAGACATGACAAGACAATGTCAAAACAGGCTATATATTGCCAACAACTGAAGGTAGATCACCATACTAGGGACCATGGGGACATTTGCTTCCTGCATGGACCCTAGCTGGATTTACACCATCCCCTCAGCCGTTAGCAACGTAGACACATCTAGCCATTCATTTAAAAATACACATATTCTATGACTAAAAATAGTGGAGAGTTTTAATTTACTTTGAATGTTTGTGGACTTACGTACCCTCTCAGGAGGACTGAAAAGTAAAGATAAATTATGAGCGAATATTGTAATATCTGTTTGGTTTCAGTTAATCTTATTTTCTTAAATCTTAACTCAATAACTATGTTGAACAATGCGTTTTTCCTAGATAACCAAAGTAAAGTACCAATCCGAACAGCTGACTTCATTTAAGTACAACCAGCAGAAGTTTACAGACAAATCAATTGTGATCGCGCCGTTCAACTACGGAATATTGCTTACTTCCATTGTTGAAGGCATAGCCTACCGTCACTGTCACGTTTAATTGTGCAAAAACATGATCTAATGTGTTTTGTGACAGATGTTGTTACTTGACACGTGCTTCGACTCATAGTACACTGTTTTCATTTGCAGGACCTGGTTTGGCTTTTGTGGCATATACCGAGGGCATAATGCAACTTCCCTTTCCCGACATATGGGCCGTGCTCTTCTTTCTCATGCTCTTCACCGCAGCTCTTGATTCTCAGGTAGAAGTGAATTAGTTTTAAATGGGACACATAATCAGTATTTTATAACATGATTCTCCGTTATTAGGGCTATTAGTATCTGTGGTGTCATTGCCATTGTTAGGTTCTGAATGCTTTGCAATGCACTCTTTCGTTTTCACTCGTATGTATCATCTGTAAGGAAATTAATGAGATGTAGGTTTTTCACACTTGCTCTGTTCTTTACCATGGAGTCTGCAAACAATTATGAGAACATATTGGGAATTTGTAGATGTGGCAGTTTGGTCTTTGTACATTCAATAATTCCAATACCTTTCTTCTTGGCAGTTTGCCATACTCCAGAATGTCCTGACGGTGGTTTTTGACCAATTTCCAAACAAGCTGGGGACACACCGTGGTCCTGTAACTGCCGTTATATGTGCTGTTTGCTTCCTCTTCGGCCTGTTGTTCACAACTCAGGTAATTCGTAATAGCATATAGTAATTATGACTTACAAATTAAAATAATAATCTGCGAATATATGCCAGTTACCATGTGGTATGATACTATTATATGTATGAATGGTTAGTCTTCAGACAAGTAGTATTGCTGGTTGTAATGGTGATGATGCCGACGACACGGACACACAATTAATGATAGTGTTGATGTTGCAGGCGGGTGTGTACTATCTGCAGCTGTGTGACTGGTATCTAAGTGTTTTCAGCGTGCTTCTCTTTGCCATCTTGGAGACAATCGTGTTCACGTGGATTTATGGTGAGTAGTTACTTTTCACGCTGCGTCGTGTTCACTCTTGGATAAAAAGTATGGGATAGAAAGCCTTGCTTTATCCTTGTCTCTCAATACCTCAGAAATATCAAAACCTATGGCAATCAGTTATGTACCTGACACACCAGTCCTGAAGACTGATAGACAAACGAGTGAGTGAGTGAGTGAGTATGGTTTTACGCCGCTTTTAGCAATATTCCAGCAATATCACGGCGGGGGACACCAGAAATGGGCTTAACACATTGTACTCATGTGGGGAATGGATCCCTGGTCTTCAGCGTGACGAGCGAACACTTTAACCACTAGGCTATCCCCACCGCCCCGATAGACAAACGAGGTTTATTCCATTTATTACAGACTCATCCAGTCTCAAAGAGGATCATTATGACTGGAACTTCACACCAATAAGTATTGAAATATCAACTAGAGTCTCAGAATATTAAATATGTATTTACAAATTTGTGTCGACAAATATCTGATCTTCATGGTTTAACAGATGTTTTATGTCAAGTACAGTATTTATTGAACATCTTCGGCCTATGGCAGTTAATAATGATTTTCTTTCTGAGCCATGATGAGTCTACCATAAATGTATACAGCTTTATTACCCTTTAGATAAATAAGACTGTTGAACTGAAAATGTGTAACTAAAGTTTTACGGGTAGTGTTAATCTATCTTACCCTCTTCCAAGGCGTAGTATGGACGACTTTGACATTGAAATCCAACTCACTTGAATTATTCAACTATTATTTTGAGGGTACTGTCCGAGTAATTCGGAGGAGCCAAAACCCATTATTGTTATAAGGAATGGAGAGTTACGAGGATATTACCCTACTTAAATTACATTCAAAGTATTGGCAATATTTCTGTTACCAAAATTAAATGACAAAATAAAGTCTTAAATTTGAAACTGGTACACATCGAGCAGACATTGGAATGACGTCACAAATGCAATCAAATATCCCGAAGTGTTTTTTTATCAATTTTATTTGAGAGTATGATATTCTCTATCTGTGAAGTGGAAATAGGTTGGACCTAAAATATATATCCTTAATTGTGATTAATGAATTAACAAGTCCCGTATTTTCTATGCCAACAAGAATTATGTCCCTTAGAATATCGATCGATGCTGTTCGTCTGCGACCACAATCATGTTGAAACCATACCGTGGACCATTTATTTGGTATTAATGGAACTGCACTGTCCTGGTTCCAGTCCTAAGTAAGTCTGAGACTTCTGGCAGTGTTACTGCATTCCAAACCAGAACAAGTTACATCTGGTGTGATGAAAAGACTCATCTACTTGTTTAATTGGCCTCCATTTTTCAAGGCAAAACACGTATTTCACCATAAATAAAGAGAAACAAAATATATAGAGGATTGCCTGAGAGACAGGCAGGGGTTATACAGCTGAAGAACAATTCTAACCCGGACCTTCAGTGTTGTTTAAGTAGACAGAAGAAAATTGGATGAAAACACTAGAATCATGGCACCTAGAAGTCTAAAGGGTAAGAATCTCGTCGGTGTCCTCCCATTTGTGAGAACTCCCAGTTGTGAGACACATTAATTAATGGTTCAGTGCACACAGGTGGTGCTTCCCCATCCCTACGATGAAAGTGGGAACAGCCCTGTTGCTGAAGAAGAGTACCCGCCGGAGGCATAGTTCATTAATGAGTTAATAAACACAGAAGACATTGTTCGTTGAAGAGCATTTATTGTTTTCAATAGATACTGAAATACTGAAAAAGATTATCGTGAACTGGCGATATATTCTACTTGTTGAAGGCCTGCCATAATGGTGATCGGAAAGCGCAGTCAAAGGTTAATAAATACATTTGGATTAATTATAGTTACAACAGTTATTGCTAGATTTTTCAAACATGTAAATCTGAGTAGGTAAATTAATTTCTTTAAATGATCACGAAGTTACCTACACAAAGTGTTTAGTTTTTAAAGCCATTTACCTGAGTAGGTTAATTACTTTATCTTTTAGAGTTTAATTAAGTTACCTCCACAAGATTCAGTTAAATAGCTAATCCATAATTAGCTGGGGTTAATCCATTCTATCATATAGGGGAGTAAGGTGTGTTTTCTTTGCTAATTACCAACTCCACTGTCTCACAACTGGGAGTCTCACAACTGGGAGTTCTCACAAATGGGAGTAGACCATCTCGTCACACGGCTATTTGCCGGGTAGTATAGGGTGGCACGGCCCATTTGTATTTCCTGAGGCTGAATGCAGCGAATTCAAACGGGCCGCACTACCCCATACTGCCTGACAAAAACTAACTAACAACTAATGTAACTAATACTGTATACAACATGTCTTGTTAAAAGCTCCTGTACATTCTGTCTAGGTATCAAGCGGTTCAATGCTGATGTGAGACTTATGCTGGGCCGAGACATCCCGCGCTACATCCAGGTGTTCCTGAGATACGTCACTCCTGCCCTGCTGTGTGTATGTGTTATGTCGTTCACAGTGTCTTACACTAGGTTTCAAACATGTCACCTTTCTGCATAAAAAACATTGCACTTTTTACAAGAAAACTTGGATACTTGGTGATATATCGTCTAACCTTTCAATAAGTCAGCTGGAATCGTCCAACATTGCCCTTGTACGTATTCCAGATGTATGTTTTGCCAAACCATGTGAATGACACGGCACACTTTCTTTGTTACCAAATTCATGTGAAAGGGAATATTTTAGTTTCAACCAGACTCGATACTGAATATTTATATCTGGATCTGTGCGTCCTTCCATCATGTGACAAGCAAATGTAATTGTGTAAACAAGCACCTCCCGACCTCGCACTGCAAGACTTACAGCGGCCCGTTTGATGAACCGCAATATCAAAGTACTGATATTGCTCTCAAGGTCTCCAAATTTACAGAACATTTATAGGATGCTCTTGATTAACGTCAGCAACGGCCACAGAACCTCCAACAGTTGACATAAGCACTGCAGGAAGAATGGGTGAACATTGCTCATGTCACAATGTGTAATATGACTGGGTCCATCGGGCGACCGTGCCAGGCAGTTCAGGACCATACAAGATATTGAAAACAGATGCCCTTCACCTTGACATTAGCTTGTTGCGTGTGTGCCATGATGAACCGCGCTCAGTGAGTGAGTGAGTTCGGTTTTACGCTATATCACGGCGGGGAACACCAGAAATGGGCTTCACAACCGCGCTCAGTGAGAATGACTTGTGCCAAATGTAATATGATCTTTGATTATTGATATAGCACATGAAGTGTACACCTGAAAAGCACTTTTGCGTTTCTTTTATTGCAGAGTATACATTCCATCAACTGTAGGCGGTGTGTAGGTTCACTCAATAAATAATCAAGTATGTTAATACTGATGACGATGACGATGAAGGTGATCTGTTCATTAACCAGTAAATGAAAATCTGATACGTGTTGGTACAGGTAATGCTGTTTCTAGTTGTATGGAAGTTCCAACCACCAACCTATGGCGACTACACCTATCCACGAAGCGCCGTAATAGCCGGGTGGGTAATGGCTGTCATCCCTGTGGCGCCCTTGCCTGTCATGGCCGTTCTCACACTGAGTAGGTCCAACGGCTCTCTCAAGAAGGTACGCTAGCAATACCAAATACAATGGAAAAAGGTAGCTATGCTTTAATTTGCATATGAGATAATAGTTACAGGCTGTATTCGATGCGTGTAATGTACCAATAAGTTGTGGATTTAGATAGGATACGAATGAGTGAGTGAGTGAGGTTTTGCGCCGCTTTTAGCAATATTCCAGCAATATCACGTCGGGGGACACCAGAAATAAGCTTCACACATTGTACGCATGTGGGGAAGCGAACCCGGGTCTTCGACGTGTTTAGCGCACACTTTAACCACTAGGCTACCCAACCGCCCCGTGTAGGATACGAACGTGAAGCAGGAAGTATATACCTGCTGGAGACGGGTGCTGTAACTTACCTCACAAGGTCTAAACATGTTTAGAACACTTGATGCCATTTCCTAATTTCAGACATTAAAGTTTGAGGATGAATATCGCCAGATAGACGTGTTCAATATTGACTGGAATCAATAATTAAAAAATCATCTTTAGACAGGAAAACGTGGGTAAATAATTGCGAGCGAAGCATCTATGAATTGCTCAGCCGTGGAAATCCTTTAGCCTTACTGCAGAGCTTAGTGTGTGTATTTGTGACACGGCTGGTTGGTTGGTTGTTGTTTAACGCCGCACTCGGCAGTATTCTGGCTGTAAATCATCGAGTCTGGACCAGACAATCCAATGATCAACAGCATGAGCATCGACCTACGCAGATATGATACGATGACATGTGTCAAATCTGAGAGTCTGACTACCCGATCCCGTTCGTCGCCTTTTACGACAAGCATGGGTTGCTGAAAACTGGAGTGTTCAGTACTAAGCCGGACTAATGGCTGCAGATTAACACGAACACCACACTCAAACTCATTATATCGACGTATCACCGCTAAAGGTAGTTATATCCTCTTGATGTCGATCGCCGTCTAGGGTAAGAAGTACAGCCTTTTGACCTCCTTTTGGTTTGACTCAAGTGGGAATCGGAACACCCACACTGTGTTCTCCCAGCACACAGCCCCACCCACCACTAAGGCGGTCAATGATAATGAAACCATATTAGCAGGTAAAACAAATCTCATTTACCTATTGTATGAATGAAAACGAATTGTCACTTTTTACCCATACCTCAGTTGGAATTAATGTATTGACTGTTTTGTGGAACAACTTTGTAATGTGAAATAATGTAATTACGATAAATGACCATCTGTGAGCAACAGGCATCGTGCAGTCCACGTGAACTGTTTCAGCGGCTGCTGACCTCTGTACAGGCTGATGGACATTTGGGGCCGTCACGTGCACACAACATGGACACCAGTTCACATGAGGACGTGAACCTACAAACGGTGACAAAATGAAACTGTTGTACAGGTGATTTCACATTCATCAAGTACCCACACAACATATT